CTCTTTTAGAAAATGGAAACAGATGGTCATAAAACCAGGATGGAAAAATTGCCTATAAAATACAATAGAGGCGTATTGCAGGTTGGCCAGTGCTGAACTGTCTTATCACTGGTAGTTTCTTTACTCTTAAATGGAATTAGACCAACTGATTATGTAGTGACTTGAGTAGAAATTAGGAATCCTTATCTTTAAGTCCTGTCTTTAGCTATGTGGTTTTAATGTTGTAAGTCCATCTGGTTAAAATGTTTTAATATGGACAGTGTAGATTTATCTAAAGTAGGGACAGTGTGTTGAGTGATTATCCTTTTAAAAAAGAAAAACATTTCTGAGACTGGAAATCAACTAGTGCAGCATAGGTGAGAGAGTGGTGGTTCTGGGAGCGCCATGGGCACTCAATCCACTTATTACTTGTTTGGGTGCCAGTTGAAGTTTTAGGATTGAGAGAGGAAAGGAAATTTTTTGGGGGGGAGGGGAAAGGGTGAACGTGGTAGTGGCATCAGGAACAGCAGCTAGTTTCCCAAAGCATATTTGTAGTAGGATCTTATTATGAGTTTTGGATGCAGTTAAGTTTCATACAGATGCTTCTCTCTCCCCATGCGCTATTTTTTATAAGTTTTAGGAGTGCTCTTTCTTTTGTAAAACAAGCCCTTTAGCCTGTATGAAATAAACATAATGGCATAAAGAGGTCGCAGCCCCGAGATTACTTAATTTAGCCAGCTGAATCCTGGGATTCAAGCCGTGTCAGGAGAGCTGGGAGGAAAGGCCCAAGTCAGCGAGCATGCCCAGAGGCCGGAGCACCCAGCTGGACCCAGCTCCCGTCCCGTTATCCGACAGCAGGACGTGAGCTGTGCTCTGCAAAGCTGCCGTTTGCCGGGTTGCGTCTTGGCACACAGATGCAGTTGCACACGCCACCGGCTTTTCAGCTGGCGTAAGATAAAGTAGCTTCACTGAGGAAGCTGCATTGAGTTGCATGGTTAGATGCTGTTGCTCTTCAGTTAAATGCTGCTCCATGCTGTCCAGCTGCTTTCGTTCTGTGCAGTTCCACCATAGTCACTGCCCACAGCCCAGTGTCTTGTTGGTAAATTAGCCTGGGAGTTGTTTATAAAACTAATAGCAAAGTATGCACAGTATGCAGAAGTGATTGTCTTGCTGTTAGTACTGATTTGTGTAGGCCATCGCAAACCGTGTTAAAAATAAGGTCAGTGCCACCAATGTTCCCACCTGTATTGCACAAGAAAGAGAGAGCTTTGAAAGAGCTTAGGTGGGAGTCAGTTCTTACATCTGAAGATGTGTTTCTCTATATTTGGATCATGTATAGATAAGTGCAGCTAATATTTTGGGGAGTAATAGTTTGCATAGTATAGGACATCTGTTAAATGCTAGTGAACTACTGAAAATAACATTTTAAGCAGCAGTATGTCAGAAGCAAGGGAAGGAGCTAAAGCCCAGTCCTGTTGTACTCAAGAGATTCCACGTGTTGGATTTCGTCCTTTAAGTTTGCACGCAGATGGTACCAGATAGGTCTGCTTATTGTAGTGTTTCCTGATCCTTTGGCACAATACTTGACCTGTTTAATCGGGAAATGACTGAGGAACAAAAAGATTATTTGCTGTTCAGGGCAAAGTCCAAGCTCAAATTTAATTGGAGTAAAAATTTTACTGCACCGTGGTCATCTAATCAGTGAGAAGCTTTTTGGCATAGGAAAAAATGACTGTAAATGTGTTTACTCAGAAGTTTTAGGAAAAATTGCATTCTAAAGAAAAAGTGCTTTAAATTCCCTAAAACTTGTGTTGATGTTGAGCATGCCTTAATTTGGGCAGGACTTGGATTGCAGTCATGTGGTCCTGTTTGGAGTGTGTGAATTTCAAGACTGGTAACCTGGTTATTTACCAAATGTAAATTTTTATAGGCAGGTTAAGATGGCTAATACAATGAAAATTATAAAGAAAAGTGTGGTAATCATTTAGTCTTAATGTGGAATAGTAAATTTTTCAAATTAAAAATACTACTGGAACAAGGAAAAAAATCCTAAAAATATAACCTCAACCTAAATATATGCCATTGTCTTGGCAACCTCAAAACAGAAGTTAAAATTATTTCTTCCCTTCAGTAAATTTTCTGCTTAGAAACCAAAGCAAGCAGCTTCTTTCAGGTTTTGCAGGGACAGGTTACCAAACTCTCCAGTTGGCTCGTGTGTTGGGGTAGGGCTGCCACAACACCAAACCACGGAGCTCAGAGCACGAGTGTTTCCAAGTGAAGAGGGAGAGATGACTCCATGACCCTGAAAGTTCAGGTCTTTGAAGCAGTTCCTAAAAATGGTCTTGCTGTTAGATGCTGAAAACTTGGAGTGAATGGGAAGGCCCACCACATAAAGAAGCATTTAAAAAAATAATGCAATGGAAGGCCTAAAGAAAGAGCAGAATCTGAGTAATATCCATGTGTGAGAACTGAGCTGTATGGGTGAAGATAGGGAGAGCAATGAACTGTCATTTCCAAGCAGTGGCAGATCAAAAGGTTTCACTTATCCAATGACAGAGGAGGGGAGTTAGCAAAGGGATGGGGGGGTAACAAAACCAGTTGCAGACGGAAACAAAGTTAGAGCTGAAAAAGGCTCTATAGAACATTTCTATAGAACATTTATAACTGTTACATTTCTATAACCAAAATGCAAACTTTCAAGCAATGTCAGTTGCCTGAGGCCAGTTTACAAAGCACTTGATTGAAAGCAAGTTGAAAATTACATATAGCTTGAGGGTGAAATTATGCAGTGAACTATATAGAAAAGCAGTTACCTTGGTATCATTCAAACATGCCTTTTTCTATAAGTCATTGTGTGGATATGGAAAAACACTAGAAGATTTTATCAAGTGTGGATACTGGAGGCAATAAGGTAGTAAGTGCTGTGGTATGATGAGAGGAATAGCCAAACCATCATCAAACAAGATAATCCTATAGTTTAACAATAACTGCCCAACAAATGAAAGAGAAATGCAAAGTGCCAGAAGTTAAAATCAATTGATATTATTATGTTAACTGCTCCCTGAGACAGGTTATATTTTGCGTGGACTAGACCTGCTGCTGCATTTTTGGTGAAATTTGTTATAGATTAATAGGACCACCAAAAGGCATATGTGAAAAAAGTTCCTGGTAAGAACAGTCAAAAAGCTTAATTGGAAAGATATATTAAGAATTGGCGTGTTATCTCTGTGCTGTGAGGGATCGTGGTGCGGAGCTTAAGAACTACTATGTTTTCATGGTTAAGGATCAAGGTATTTACCAAAACATGAAGAAGTCGATCAGTCAAGTTCCTGTGGCACTTGATGCTTTCTGAAAGGAACAGCGTCAACAGCTGGCTGCAAATGTGGTTGGATTTCCTGAAGAACAGTTTGTACCCTTTCAAATACAACAGATGTACCAAGTGGAAATTATTTGTATTTGCTGACAAACTGAAACCTGCTGAAGAGTGGACAGTTGCAAAGCACTGACCAGTGAGTGGCATTCTTGACCTTCTGTTATGACCACCTGCTTCTAAAGTACAAAAGGCTCTTTATCTGAATCTTTTTCTTTATGCTATTAAGGGAAAGTTTAGAAAGATGCCACCTGCTTCTAAAGTACAAAAGTAAAATAGCAAAAATGCTATTAAGGGAAAGTTTAGAAAGATGATAATAAATATTTTCAAACATTCATGGAAAACTGAGGAAGAGGGTTAGTATAGGCAGTGTACAGATTTGGTCTTCATTTTTAGTGTTCCAGCCGATGGGCCTGAACTGGCTGGGTGCAGCTCTGCGGCGCTCTGAACACTTATATTTGTGTGGATTGGTCATTTTTTCAGCTTGACTGTCAAATGCTTCTATGGGTCTGACTATTAATTACATTGTACTGAAATAGGAAGACCAAACTGTAATTTGGATATCTATGAGTAGCATATGGAAAAGCTGGAGTGGGGGGAGTATGTGATGGTACGATGAGAGGTGATACTGTAGCAGTGGGGGATAGAATTCAACTTGTGTATGCAGCTTCCTTTGGTGTACTTGTACCTTTTTCTACTATTTATATTCATAAAGGGTCTGTTTCATTTTTGGTCTTGAAACAACTGCCAAAAGTTCTGCTATGGCAACACTAGAATAGGACATATAAAGTGATCTGTCCTGAGTGTTTACATGTTAGTGATGACATGTTTAGCGTACAGAGCTAAACAAAGTTACTTGGCAAGCCTGCATTTCTGTAGACTAAAAATAACTTGCGCCAGTTTTACACCTGCAAAGGTTTGAAAGTAGGGTCGTGGGGGAAGAACTTTTAAATATTTCTTTTTAAGTTTATAACTGTATTTACATGCATACATACATATAATCATTTTTTGCATGATAAAAAGGGGTATTAAAGTACCGTAGCTTAAATAGGAAGGGGTCTCTGCTTAATCTCACTTGGCAGAGTTCTGCTTTGTGCAGGCAGAGGTGGCTGCTACCCCAGTGCTTCTCTTGCTCTCCTGGCGAGTTAGCACTGCAGCTTCTAACAGGAAAGGCCCAGATGAGCAGAGGTAGCAGCACCAGCTCTTGTGTGTGGCACGTGTGCCCTGCAGGAGAAGCCCTGTATGTCTGGGAGGGAGTGGGAGCCGAGAGGCTCAGGGAGCCGGGCCTGACTCCTTCAGGAGGGAAAGCAACTGGGATTTCTTTTGTGTGAAGTTATGCAATACAGATGTATGTGCAGGAAGTATATATATATCCTGTGGCTTAAAACATCCCAATTCATATACCTTTTTGATTTAGTATTAAGAGAAAATTGATTATTTTATCAAGCAGCCAAGAATTGCTTCTTTTCCTAGATTGTCCTCAAAGCTGGTGAGAAATTAATGCCAGTTTCAGGATTTATGAAGGGGAAAAAAAAAAAGGTATTCTTTGATTCAAAGAGTTATTTAGAGGTAGTTTTTTCTGCTTTTCTCCTACTTTTTAGTAGAATTATAGGAAGGAAAATTTAATAATCGCTTTTAATTTTCCAGGCAGCCAGCATCAAGCGTGAAATGACCTTCCCTGCATTTCAACAGGAGGATGTAAAAACTGATACCAGTCAAAAACTGCCAGACCAACAGTTTCTCCTGTTTGCCACGAAGGAGGAAGATTTAAAAACAGCAGAGACCAAAAAAACAAGCAGAGTTCATGAGCATGAAAAGGAAACCACTCGCTCTATTTGTCTTCTTGAACAGAAGCGCAAGGTTGTTTCTTCAAATATTGATGTGCCTCCAGCAAGGTAAGGGAAGATTTTTTTTTCTTTATTTTGCTTTTAGTATTTTTAATGCAGTATTAGAGGCAAGTTTGATTACTGGTAAGACTGGTAATTCATTTCCAAACATTCATTTCCAAACAGTTCAAAGTCAATGAAATCTTGGCTACTTGTTGGAAAACTGCAAACACTAGTAGCAGGAGCTGAGATGGTCTGAAATGCAGCACTCTTGTGTTGCCTTGGCTTTGCAGTGTGGGAGCTGTGCAGAGCCTGCTGTGCTTCAGTCCACTGACCTGTAGTACCATAGTGTCTTCTGGAGGCTTGATACCAGTGAGTAAAGAAAGGGGTGGTGAGAAAGAAATAAAATTTCTCTTAGAAGAACAATGTATGTAGTCGAGATTTGTTTGTTACTTAATATAATCTACAGTGCCTGAGGCACCCGAGAAGTGTGTGTGTCTTAACCAGCAGAGGATGGTGCCAGCTTCACCTTGGCCTGACAAGCAGTGCTTTAAGTGAGAGAGATGAGAATCATTCTGCCTGGTAGCATTTTTTATCATGCCTGCAGCCTCTTCTATCCCTGGCTAGACATACTCAGCTGGCTTGCAAAATAGTTTGTGAAATGAATTACTCAAGGAAGTATCGAGGAGGACCCAATGCAAAGAAATCAAATTTGTACAAAACAGCTTTTGGCAGGTATAATACTGCTTTTTCATTTCTTATTTTTTCAGGTTCTACTGTGAAGCTTACCTAAACTTTTGTGACCTCAGCACTTTCATCAGGCATTTTTAATTATTAACTATTTATAGGGAATTATATGGAGAAAAAAAATATTTAACATGAGACTTGGTAGACATCACTGCAAAAAAAAAGTTTCTATATTTTAGGTGGAATTGTAGAGAACAAGAAACTGGCTAATGTTTTAAAGAAAGGGATCTAGAAAATAAGGAATCTAAAATATTCTGAACTTTGGGGAAGGACTGATTTGCTTTGAGAGTTAGAGAAAGAATAAATACCCTAGAAAATATTAGAAAATCAGTACGAAATAAACATATTCAGATATACTAAGCAGATTAACAACTATCATTGGTGAAGTACTGACAGTGAAATGTGTACTTTACGTTGCAAGACAAAAAGTTGATGGGAGGTTATTTTTGTTCTTTGTTATTTGTTTTGTTGTTTGTCTTGGCATCAGTCTGCCTGCAAAGATTTTCTTAACCTACCTAGTAAATTCACTTATTCTTACTTTACAGAGAAATGCTTTTCAAGTTTATTTTTTATGGTGCCTCTTTAAAAACATATAGTCAAACTGAATATTTTGATACTTTTGATTTCCTTCTTTTTTTTTTAAAAAAAAAGGCAGCATAAAACAGCAAATTTTGCTATATCATCCAGAACTGGATCGTCATTTTCCTAAAGTCTGAAGGCAATAGTTTTGCCAATTTTACTCTGGCTCTTATAGATGATAGTTGCAAAAGAGACAAAATCCATGAACATTTAGACATTTTTTCCAGGTCCATCTCTGATTTAAAAAAAAAAAAAAAAAAGCTAAGCATTTAAGACTGGAAAAACTTGGGGACCTTATTTGATATTTCCAATGGTGATCAACTCTCTAATGCCTGAGTATGAAACTTCATGCTTGTGTATCTCAAAACACTTGTGATCATCATAAAATTCCTCTTGGAATTTGTATTTCAACTGTGTAGTAACTGTAGACTTTTGTTTTCTGTTCCTACATTATGTGTTTTATTGGGAGTATCTTTGGGGTTAAAATAGGGGAGAAGTCAGGATTTTTCTTTATGTTTACGTTTTTGTCTGCAAAAAATGAAATACAAGGTTGTCAATAGGATATTTTTCCCGTTTTTAGAGTCCCTAATTTGGATATGACCTGCAGCTTAGATTTGAGTGGTCAAACATGGACCAGATCCACCATATCTGAGTAAAGAAAAAAACCTCAAGCTTTCTAATTGGCTAACTTTTTATACATTTACTTTGTGCTTCTAGAGGAAAAGCTAAAGCTTAGGTGATTATATACCTTCTGTTAGTTTGAAATTAGTTTTTTGTTTTTCATTAAAAACCTCTATTTCCTATATTCTTTTGGTTTATTATATTCACTGATACTTAGCAATGTCATTAATCATGATCATAACCTACTGAATTTTTTGCCATCTTTCCTTTAAAGCTGTTGCTATATGACTACAAAATAATTTTTTATTCATATAACTGTACTTTATCTGCTTATATTGCAATGGGAAAATATATAATTTAATTGAAAATAAGTAAGTGCAGTGTATTTAGCAACTCTGTCTCTCACTGTCTCTTTATATTCTTCAGGAATAGCTACAAATAACTTGTACCAAAATAAATCTGGGTGCATTTTCTGACGATCATTATAAAGAAAGCAGTATTAGCAGTTAAGCATTTTCATCCTGAAGGGTTTTCTTGCCTGGGCTCTCCAGGAACACAGCTCTGGGCAGCCTGCTGATTTGAGAGTTTGCTGTTGATCCGCAGGGCCTGCTGGGCATGACTGCTTACGCCTCATGTGTCTCAGCAGCAACGTGTGCAGAGTCCCTTAGCCACAGCTCTCCAGGAGCCCCTCTCAAAGATCAAAAGCAGCCTCAGCTTAGCTGTGATGCTCTCCCTAGGAGGACTTCACCATCTGGGGGAGGAAGAGCCTGATGCTCAAGTTGGTCTTCTCTGTTTATGCAGAGATGTTCTGCTTAATCAGGGATCATCGTACGTGGTTTTTCTCAATCTGTTTTACGAAACTCTGGTGCTCTCTTGGGAGAGCAACTTTGCTGTTTTCCAAACATTTTGCACAGAATAGATTGATTATTGTCAGAAATAATCAACTATTTGTTGGCTGCTGATGCTTTTCAGGCACATGGATGAAAGCAAAAGGCCAAGAAATAGAGCCTGTACTTCAGACTTGCTGAATGTAGCATTGTAAGCCTCTGAGCTCTCTAGCCTTTCAGCTCAAAACCACTTTCAAGCTCTTTTCGCCACCCTATGGATTGAGTCTTCTCATCTGTCCATTTTTTTGTGTTGTTTTTTCTTTTTGTTTACTTTTTTCTATTTTTGATAGACTTTTCAAAATGAAAACCATGTCCTTTATGATACGAGAGTTACTCCTAGATTAAAAACTTCAAGTGGACCCTTTATTTTAGGGCTTCTGAATGTTAATTGCTGGCAATACTGAGCACTGATGATGCTTTCTAATACTGAATTTTCTTTCCCTTATAGAGGGACTATATTTGTTCCCGTTTATAACGGGGATCAACACAGGGGTAGTTAAGCCTCCTATAAATACCATTGATAGACCTGGATTTTGTAGCTGGGTGATAAAGACTCATGGCTTAAGTATCAGAAGTCCCCATTGCCAAAGATCCGCACTGGTATGTCAGATGAGCATTATTTTCAACAAATTATCTTACGTGTAGCCTTAAGTACTGTAAGTTTGCCACAACAAGCAGATATCAGCTTGTAATAGAACCAGTTGTGTGATGATTACAATTTATTTTTTCATCAACCTTAGATAGACTAGCTAGTCTGCCCAGAAGGATTTTGTTAGATTTTTTTCCATGTGATATTGTTGTTAAAGTGAAGATTTTGGATGAGATAAAATTAGTCTTGAGATTTTTCACTTACACCCAAAGCCACAACTTAATCTCATTGACAAAGCAAACTACTTGTTCTGGCTAATAATATTTTGCATTTGATAGTGGTTTTCACCCAGTTTGTTATAGCACCAACTCTGTGTTGCTGTGATCTTTCAGCCTATTTTGCTATACCTCATTCTGTAAGAGCAAGATGTGATTTAAGAGTGATAGAATTACTAGGAATATTAAGCTTATATATCATGAACAAGTTTGTTTCTTGTTGTTGTATTTGTTGTTGTAGCAACTGGACATCACAGAGTTCCTGTTTTCATAGTTTTCAACCTGTACCCATTCTTCTGATGTGTACGATAGCGTTCATATTAGGAGAGGGAATATCTAACACCATTAACATATGGTTTTAGGTGTTCTGGGTTTTTGCCAGTGTTATTGTAAAGCATTTTTACTGCGGACTTGTAATTTCCTTCAGAAGAAATGAAATTCCAGTGAAAAGTAAGAGCACAATAATTTTATTATGCTATTAGAATGGCAAGGCTAGCTTTTCCCAGTGCCTGGTATTGTAATCAGTACTTAAAAAAAATCTTCTTTATATATAATTCTTCAAAAATAGAATTCGTAGATAGTTTTTGCATTAATGCACTGCATACATACATACATACACACACATATCTGTATGTGCATATAAATATTTCCTGAATATCAATTGTCATACTTAATGTTTCGAATTTCTATTCTTATATTCAAACACTGAGGAAGATTTGTCTCCATCTGCAGAAGTACAACTAATTTTCCTTAAAATCTCGTAGTCAAAAGAAAGAGCTGAATTATTTTCTGTTGGATCAAAGTTGTCAAAAAACCAATGATCTCATTACCAAGCAAATTTCAACAAATTTTTCTACTGTAGTACAGAGGAAAAATGTCTCCCTAATCTGCAGTGGACATTAGGTAGTGGATCTTGAAGAGCTGTATGCAGCAGTCGTTGCTGTTAGCTATCAGTGTGAATGCACGTCTTGTTTTCAGACTTCAGTGCCCTTAAAAAAATAGTGTGTAATTTCAAAACACTTTTAAACAGCAGGCAATATTCAGGAAAAGTAATTTTTTTGTGGTGTACAGTAGTTGTAACACACAAAAAAAATCCTGTTGAAATGCCATCTGTGCTGAGAAAAAAAGTCAATAGATATGTGTTTTTTAACTTGTGTATCTGTGAAACATGCAGGAATGATACCCTGTATTTAGTTGTGTGGAAGCATGGTCATGGCTAGGTTTTATTTAAATGCTATAAAACTAAAATTTTCTAGCCTATTCAGTGATACTTCACTGTCAGGAAAGACACAAACCTTGACCTTCAAAGAGCTGTTCTATCACTGATCATTATTCAAAAAACATTTTTGGAAGTTAACATCTTCACTTCTG